GCCGGATGGGAGCCTGTGGCTGGAGCGCGTGGAGACGAGGGACACGGGCACATACGAGTGCGTCGCTCACAACCTCCTGGGCTCTGCCACAGCCCGAGCGTCCTTGGTTGTGAAAGGTACGAGGCGGCCCTGCCCAGACCGTGGGCCAAGGCGGGATCTCCTGCGAAAAGGGGATCTGTGTGTGGTTTGTGGTGGACCTGGCCCTCTGCCCTGCTAGCTCCCCGACTCTTCTCTTTGCTGAGAGTCACAAACATTGAACAAAGCAGCGGGGAGGGCCTCGTGGGTCACGGTGTCTGCCCTTCCCTGTGCAGTCAGAGAACCGAGGGTCCGAGATGCTCCATGTTCGCAGCTCCTGTCGGACCAGGGACTTGGGCTCTTCCAGCTCCCCTGGCACAGGCCCAGGTCCTCTCTTTGGACACTTTGCAGCTCTGCCTGGCCGGGTGGGCGCCCAGTAACCACTGCTGCTCCCAGCGGCACCACCCCTGCCGGTCGGCCTCCTCAGTCAGCGTCCTTCCCCCGTGGGGCAGCCCAGACTTTAACACGGAGAAGGTGACTCTGCCGAGAAACCATAACATGGCCCAGCCTGACTGGTGGAAAGCCGCTGGGTATTATTTCTGGGCGTCTGTTGTTCTGTAAATACTCCACCTTTGGGGCTCTATCTCCGGCCCCGTCCATGGCAGACATCACTAATCTATCGCTGCACACGCTGCAGATTCCTTCCCCACAGAACCCTGTTCCAGGCAGCAGCTGGGGACCACTTAGAACTGGGACTTGACACTTCGCCACTTGAAACCCACTCACTCTGCCGCCATTTAGAAAAACCCAACAAACCTTTTTAGGGGACATAATGGCCTCCTTGCCTTTTTATGGGTATTTTTTAAAAGATATTTTTATTGATTTCAGAGAGGAAAGGAGAGGGAAGGGAGCGGGGAGTATCAGTGATGAGAGACAATCATTGATCGGCTGCCTCCTGCACGCGCCCCTACTGGGGATCGAGCCCAAAGCCTGGGCATGTGCCCTGACAGGGACTCGAACTGTGACCTTCTTTCTGGTTCATAGGTCGGTGCTCAACCACTGAGCCACGCCGGCAGGGTCTCCTTACCTTTTTAATGGAAACAACTGCTTTTTACTTCATATATGTTCGCTGTAGAAAGGCCTGGTGATTTAGAAAAATCTGTGAAGAAAAAGGAATGATCAATCATCTCTCACCATGCAATGACCACAATGGCTTTGGCCGTGGTTATTTGGGGTATATCTTTCTACCCTCTTTTTCTCCAAATACGAAGAGAGAGGCTTTTCTGTCTACGACTGAGATCACGCGGGCAGGCGTCTTTACGACCTGCCGTGGCTCCCGGGCGTCGGACGGCACTCCTTGGCAGTCAGCCCGGCCCACACCCTCTTCATGGCTCCCTCCCATTCCACGGCAGCGTTTCCCAGCGTCATTGCTGCCGGCTTTGTGGAATAGGCCCCAGGTTTCTTCCCAATGTCCCCCCCAAACCACACTGTGTGCACGCCCTGTGTGCTGGCCCGAATCTTTCTACAGGATAAATTTCTTCAAGGGGAAAAAAAAAATTCTTCATGCGGCATCGCTTGAAGGTAAACGGTGTGCAAAGGCTTTGAGGCCCCCTCGCTCTGGTCTTGTCTTCTCTCCCTCCTTTTCCATGAGTCTTGGGGGGCCTATCCTGGCCTTGTGGGAAACGAGGCTGCCGAGTCACCCCGTGTCGGAGAAAGTGGCCAGTGGCTTGTCATTCCTGTCCTCCAGCCCCCGCCCCCACCACCCCCTTTTGAAGCTCCCAGGAGCCATGCTGTAGCTCTCTTCCCTGCAGCTCCCACTACTGCCTCAGCCCCTCAGCCACGGCCAAGGGCCGGTCCGTGCCTCTTCCTGGCCCCGCCATGAACTCAGGGCAGCAGATACTGACCAGAGACCTCCCTGCTGGGCGTCGTCTCCTCAGACCCCGGCTGTGGGCTGCAGGCACGGCACCACTTCCTGGACTCCAACATTCCCCAGCCCCGAATTCACCCGATTAGGAGCCTGGCGGTTCTGGTTGATGTTATGTTTTTGGACAGATCGTGGGCAATTTGTTGCTAATTTCCCCGGAGAGCTGGTGAGCGCCGAGGCAGGCTACCTTCTGTCTCTCTCCCCCTGGAATGCCATCTGCCGAACGAGGCATCTGGCCCATTAGCCAGAGGAAGCGGCCCCCGTGCCCACGCCATCTATCCGATTAGTGCGG